GTATGGTAACTTATCCCTGTAATCCCAGCACTTTGAAAGTTTGACTTTTCTTTCCCAGAACAGAAGTAAGAGTTGATTAAAAAGCTTTAGAACAGCAAGGAAAAACGAAGAGGAAAGAAAAAAGTTCACCTTGGGAGACAGCAAAACAGGCGCCTTCAGAAAGCAAGTGCGCAGCTTGACCTCTGTGACTTCGGGTTTTATACGTTGGTATACTTCCGGGATCTTGCCTGACTTCTGCCTACTCCTGAAATCTTATTGGAAGCTGCTGATCAATTTCAGGTGTTTTCTATCCATGAAGAGCAGGCATGCCTTTCCTGTGCTGGCTGTGACCAATTTATTTCCTCCTGAAATCTTATTGGGAAGCGGCTGATCAGTTTCAAGTGTTTTCTATCCATTAAGAGCGTGCCTTTCCCTGCTGCTTGCTGTGACCAGTTGTTATTCCTGAAATCTTATTGAAAGCTAAAGTAATAGGGGTTTTGATATTGAGATATTGCGGGAGGTTTTATGTTAATGATAGTGGTGATGAAATTCCCAGTAGCTCCTAAAATAGAGGAGAGATGCCTGCTAGGTGAGCGAGAAGATAGTTAGGTCTGCGGAGGCTCCTGGGTGGGAGAAATTTCCTGCTAAAGAGGCGGGTACACTGTTGACCTGTCCCAGCGCCGGCTTCTACTATGGCGGATGCTAGTAGTAGAAAAGGAGGAAGGAGTCAGAAGCTTATGTTATTTAGGCGACGGAATGCTATGTCCAGGGCACACCAATTATCAGAGGGACTAATCAATTTCCGAAGCCTCAATTATGATGGGAGGTATAACTGAAGAAAATTATAACGAATGCATGGGCTGTGACAATAACACTTGAAGAGCATGAAGAGCGTGCCTTTCCTGGTGCTGGCTGTGACCAATTATTTACTCCTCCTGAAATCTGAATTCAGAAAGCACTACTGTCAATTTCAAATATTTCTCCATTAAGCGTACCTTTCCCTAGTATCAACTGTGACCAATTGTTACTCCTCTGAAATCACAGTTGGGAAGCTGTGATAAGTTTCAGATATTTTTCTATCCATTAAGAGTGCCTTTCCTGGTGCACAAGTATGACCAATTGTTACTCCTCAGAAATCTTGTTAGGGAGCTGATCAGTTTTCAGATGTTTTCTACCTAGGCGTACTTTTCCTAGTGCCGGCTGTGACCAGTGATTACTCCTGAACTCTTATTGGAAGCTGCTGATCAGTTTCAGGTGTTTTCTATCCATGACGCGAGTGCCTTTCCCTGGTGCTGGCTGTGACCAATTGTTACTCCTGGAAGTCTTGTTGAAGCTAAGTAATAATTCCCAGTGCAGCGGCTTGAAGGCACCCTCTTCATGGGTAGAAAACGTCTGAAACTGTTGGCTGTCTTCTAATCAGAATTCGGGAGGAGTAACAATTGGTCACAGCCGGCTACTGAAGCACGCTCTTCATGCTCTTCATGTTATTGTCACAGTCCATGCATTCGTTGCCATTTTCTTCATAGTTATACCGATCATAATTGGAGGCTTAGAAATTGATTAGTCCCTCTGATAATTGGTGCTCTGACATAGCATTCCCCTCGCCTAAATAACACCAAGCTTCTGACTCCTTCCCCCCTCCTTTCTACTACTACTAGCATCCGCCATAGTAGAAGCCGGCGCTGGGACAGGCTGAACAGTGTACACTCCCGCCTTTAGCAGAAATTTCTCCCACCCAGGAGCCTCCGTAGACCTGACTATCTTCTGCTTCACTAGCAGGCATCTCCTCTATTTTAGGAGCTATCAATGTCATCACCACTATCATTAACATAAAACCTCCGCAATATCTCAATATTAAACCCCTATTGCACAGCTTTCAATAAGTTTTCAGGAATAACAACTGGTCACAGCCAGCACCAGGAAAAGCTTAAGCTCTTAATGGATAGAAAACACTTGAAACTGATCAGCAGCTTCTCAATAAGATTTCAGGAGGAGTAACAATTGGTCACAACCGGCACCAGGGAAAGGCACGCTCTTCAATGGACAGAAAACACTTGAAACTGATCAGCGGCTTTCCCAATAAGTTTCGGGAGGAGTAACAGTTGGTCTGGCCAGCACACCGGGAAGGCACCGCTCTTCATGGATAGAAACACCTGAAATTGATCAACCTTCAATAAGATTTCAGGAGTATAGGCAGAAGTCAGGCAAGATCCGGAAGTATACCAACGTATAAAACCGAAGTCACAGAGGTCAAGCTGCGCACTTGCTCTGGCGCCTGTTTTGCTGTCTCCCAGATGAACTTCTACTTTTCTTTCCTTTTCGTTTTCCTTACTGTTCTAAAGCTTTTAATCAACTCTTACTTCTGTTCTGGGGAAAGAAAAGTCAAACTTGCTCTTCATGGATAGAAAACACCTGAAATTGATCAGCAGCTTCCAATAAGATTTCAGGAGTAGGCAGAAGTCAGGCAAGATCCCGGAAGTATACCAACGTATAAAACCCGAAGTCACAGAGGTCAAGCTGCGCACTTGCTTTCTGAAGGCGCCTGTTTTGTTGTCTCCCAAGATGAACTTCTCTTTTCTTTCCTTTTCGTTTTTCCTTACTGTTCTAAAGCTTTTTAATCAACTCTTCTGTTCTGGGAAAGAAAAGTCAAACTTTCAATAGTGCTGGGATTACAGGGATAAGCCACCAAACTCGGTGGATAACTAGACTTTTAAATGTAGTTTTGTGAAAAACGTACCTGTTCATGGAAGGGTGCTGAGGTTCTGAATTTCTTTCTATTTTTTCCTTATTTTCAGTAGTTTTATTCTGCTCTGATTCCATTAGGGACTAGCACCTAGCAAAAAAAAAAAAATTGAGGGTCCTTGCTCTCTGCTTGTTTTGACTATCACAACAGAACAAAAGAATACAATGACCATTATCAAAGTACAACTTTTTAATCCATCTGTTATGTGCCTGCCTGTCAATCTATTCCCTTATCTGGATACTTAAATTTTTATATAATAGGGAGATGTATACAGGGTGGTAAAATATTCTGAGAAGCACACAGTACAGAAAGTAAACCCACAGTATAGTAAAATGTAATTTCCGTTGAATATATTTTATAGTAGTTAATGCATATTCTGTAAAAAACTATGCCACCAACCAACCAGAGAAGCATGAAATATTGAGACTAAGTAAACTGAAAAGGCATGTCAAGCCCTTGACTTTGCTGGAAGTTAATATCAGTGAGATAAAAGTATTTCAGTTATTACATCTGTGCTACATATAAATCAACATCTTCAAGAAGTCTCTGGCAATGTTTTAGGATATTCCAGTGCATTCTAATTTTTTATTGGATGCATAAGAAATTATTGCAGAAATTGTGTATCAGTCTAAATCTTAGCTGTCTTCAGAAAACGTTTCCTTTATACTACCATGAAAGCAATAGTTTTTTTTTCTGGAATTATAGGCCAAACCCCTTGACAAAAACGAGTTGTCCATTATACTACTTCTGACCTATTTCCATATTTTTTGTATTAAAAGCATTAATATCTCACTTTTTGCTTAGAAATTTGATGTTTAAATGAAACTTATAGTTTTCAGGCAAATATATTTACATGTATGTTTAAATAACCTTATTACAAGCATATTTTTGAATTATTTTTCATCACAGAAATGGGCAAGGTTAATTTTGCATGATCATGACTCGGGGCAGCTTGTGTGTGGCTGCTGGCATCTGAAGAGGGAAATAAAAGCATGAGACGCTTGTCTTCTGATTCTTGAAATTACCAGCCCAGTCCCCACTCCTCGGCTTTTCTCAATGCTCTAATCCTTATTCTATTAAATATTTTCGCACACAAATAACGAAAATACTGTTAAATACAGGCAGTCAAGTTGGCCCATAAAAGTCCCTTTAAAATATAACATGTCATTGCCTTCAGTAAGTGACTAAAATCATTTCAACTGCTTTGCCTTGTAGAACATATATTTAACTGTTAATTTCCATGATAGAACTCCCTTAGTTTGGAAACCGTGGCAAGGAAATATTGCTATAAGAAGACGTCACTTCAGTTCGCTTGCAACAAATTTTTTTGTCAAAACTTACAGCATTGTTAATAGTGAGCAAAAGCTAATGTGTGGAAAAAAGGTCTGAATGCCTACCCAGAAGGTCAAAATTGGTCATTCTTTCCCTAGATATTTATTGGATGCTCATTACATTCAAGCCTATGGTGCTCAGTAAATGTTTGTTGGATGAGTAAATGCTCTCGGCTGTGTGGGTTTCAGCCTTATTTTCTTAGTTTCTTGTTTCCTCCAGTGTTGGCCAGCTGTTAGTTGCTTGTAGTCAAATATTTTATTTGAAGGGTAAGATGATTCAGTTTAAAACAAAAGGGAAGGAACGGGAAGACAACTGCCGAAGCTGGGTTGTCGACTGCTGTTAGTCAAAAATCTGCTAGCTATTAGATTCATCTGGCAAGCTATTCCTATGCTAGTTAATTGAGCATTTATCATTAGAAAAACTACAAAGGCAAAGTATCTACATGTGGCCCCTTCTACCCTGCATCCTCTCCAAATGGTTTCTATATTGAGGCTTTGACTAAACTTGAAGACTTTCATGGGTAGGTTTATGTACCAGTTTATGGCAGAGCCTTAAAGCCTGAAGCCAGCCTCCTGAACTGATATTTGAGTCCTTTCAAGGAAAAAGATGCGAAAAAAGATCCTTCATAAAACACAGCATGAAGCAGACCTCCACATCAGCTTTTAATTTCTGATAATGTGCTCGGTATAATGTTTTAGTCAAGTTCTTGTGCCAAATTGGGTCCTTAGCCCTCACAGTAATCTTTGGAATTTTTTTTACCATGAGTGTAGGAAACGATAGCTTTTTAAAAGCCACTGTAAATCTCGGCTTCCACTGCTGCCAGTGACAGCTGATAAAGGGGAATGGGAGGAAAAGCAAGCAATGCAAATACAAAGCAATTTGCATGAGTCAGTCCACCTGGAGGAAGCTAATGGAGGTGCTGCTTTCCTACTTTAAGGTGACTTGCCTTGCAAACTGTAGATCTCACCAACGCTGTTCTGACGAGTGATGTGATGCCAGTACGCGCTGCGAGGAAGAGATATTGATTTGGATAATGTCATTGGTTCAGTCAAGCTTGTCTGAAGCTAAAAGAGAAAAGAAAATGTGTTTTAGGCCTTGTTGAAAACTGAAATCTGCCCATTTAAATGTTCAGGGTTAAATGAGTGACAGATGATAGAATCTGTAGATACCTGCATGATCCCCTGTATAAGGATAACTTTTAAAGTAAAATCGTTACTCAAAAATGTGAAAGGAATACTTGTAAACAATTCAATCTAACTCATTCAGAGAACACTAAGATGGTACGAATGATTCCAATGACTTGTAGCAACATGATCAATTGTAGTCACTCCACCCAACAGTTAAATTTCTATGGACGAGAATTATTTGCGTTACTCTCGGCTTTCTACAATTTACAGAGTTGTAAAGTAACTCAGAATAAAGGTGCCAGCCCCTTCAGAAGCAGAGACCCATGAAAGGTTTACAGAATACCCATTTTTTACCCATTTCAATCTCTCAAAATTTTGCCTTACATGTCCTCCCAACCTTACACAACGGATATTTTCTCAAATAGACCTTTTTCCTTGCTCCTGTGATAGAATCTTGTACATATTAAGGTATTCTCTGAGAAACACTGATTAAAATATTTCGAATAAACATGCCAATTTTAAGGATAGCTGAGAAGATTCACACAATATCACGTACTCGGCTACGTGATTAGTTCAAAGAAAATAAGTTTACATTGTGTTTTCAAGAAATAGCTTTATTTTTAATGCACAAGAAGTTTCAAGAAACATGCAGAAATGGTTTTTAGTCTTGGCGCACATGTCTCTGACCCAGCCTGAGGAAATGTTTACTTTTGACAATGAGTAATCCTCTAATAAAATCTCATTTTCTCTTTGATGCCTGACTCCTGGCAAAACAGTTGCAAAGATGATCTGTCAAATCTAGGCTTTGCGTGCCTTGCTGCTACTGTGGTGTGTCCACGGTGCTCCTGCAGAGTCCCTGCCCGGCCGTTGATGCTTGGATGGATCACATAATTCTACATCCAGCATTGGATTTGACTCTTGCCACCCTTCATAGAAGATGCTATCAGGAAAGTACCGATATGACACAACAGGTCGTTCAAGGCCACATAAAACTAAGAGGTTCTTACATTTTAATAGAAAGTTGGAATTAAAGAGCTTGCACATATTTCATTTTACTTAGTGGTAAGACATTTCTGGAGCTGCTACGTTCTTGTCACAAAAGTGCCATACTCAGTCTATTTAAAAGTCTGGCACTGTTAAGGTATCTTTTTTTTTTTTTAAGATGGCTCCAAATGGTAACTTTGCAGCCATTCTTTGTTTTTTCAAAATTTGGTTGGTAGACTTCAAAGTTTTCCTGCTTATTACATAAACAGGTGAACTATCCACATCCACATCCTGTGGTTGGTGTTTATAGGGGTGGGGTTCTACGGAGACAAGCTTCTGGGTTATCATAGAGCAGTGCTTTCAGAATCTTTTGGGTGGTCTGGTAACAATAATAATGGCAGGAGATAGCCAAATACCTAGGCAGATAGTGTCCCCGGAGAACCTCGGACCCACCCAGGTCATTGTACATAGGGGACTTGTCTAAACATGCCCACGGTAAAAAAAAAAAGTCCCTTAACACATGTGCAGTAAAGGAAATGAATGAATGTAGGGTGGCTCAGACTATAAGGGCCCATGTGCACACTGGAAAAAATGGGTTGGAGACACCAGGAATTAACACCTTATGCAGGGGAGGAGAAGCCTGGCCCCTTCAGCTCCTGTGTTGGTGGCCTGGTGCTCAATCTGAGGTGGGAGCTGGCTGGCGGGACAGCTCTTTTTGCTGAGAGCTCCCCTTTTGCTTAAATTCTACTTTCCTCACCCTTCAATGTGTTTGCATGCCTTACTTTTTCCTGGTTGTGAGACGAGAACCTGGATTTAGCTGAACTAAGGAACCAAAAAACCTGCATCAACAATGGGCGTTTCCAGTTTTACCCTGGAGCTAACAGCGCGGGGGGGACTCTGCAAGTAGGGCTATGCACATTGAAAACATGCCTTACACCCTCATGGATGGAAGTCCACCCCCACAAAGAACTAGAGGCAAGGCTCATTTTATGAAAGCATTATTGGGAGAAAAGATAGGACTTTTGTCTTTAAAGCCAATTTCCCATATGAGGCATAAACTTAATTAAACACATAAATCTTCAATTCATGTCAGCAATGCCCATTAATAACAATCCATAGATTCAGTCTCATATTAATCACGGTTCTGTCTACTCTTCCTTTTTCTAATTTGTTTATTACTCAGCATACAGTAGATCACTGGTAAATTAATCTTTCCAAAATGTGATGAAAGTGCTTTTTCTTTTATTCTGGGAGACATTTTTCTTCCCAAATGGTCAGTTTTTAAGCATCAGGAAAATAGTGAGCATTTTTGTTTGCTGGAAATATAGTTGGAAGCCACTGGATAATTCTTCCACATGATTTCCTTCTGAATCTCCCTGTATTTGACACCTCAAGTTTCTCACTTTCCCTCTTCATTTTCATGTTCTAGGATGCTTTTAATGATATTCTATTTATTCCTTAGGTTTCTCTCTATTCTACTTGCATAACTTATTGCTGAAAAATGGAAAATTTATGTTCAAAAAATTGATTATGGATTTTCTTGATCTTTGCTAGGGATACAGATCTAGTCTCCCATTTCTCAATGTCTAGATGTTCCCCTGGATTTTAGAATAGTCCATTCCCCATGTGTACCTTTTTGTATTGAGTACTGCTATAGACTGAACTGTTTCCGCACAAATTCACATGTTAAAGCACTAACCCCCAAATGACTATATTTGAAGATAAGGCTTTTAAAGAGGTTAATGAAGGTTAAAGGCGGACATAAGGGTGGGGACCATAATCAAATAGGACTTGTGCCCTTAGATGAAGAGGAAGAGACCCAGGGATAAATATTCAGAGAAAAGGTCATTAAGGACACAGCAAGGAAGCACCCATGTAAAAGTTGAGAAGGCCTCAGGAGAAACCAACCCTGCAGGCATCTTGATTTTTTTTTTTTTTTTTTTTTTTGCACTTCCAGCCTCCAGAACTGAGAATTTCTGCTGTTCAACCCATCCAGTTTGTGGTATTTTGTTATAGCAAGCTGAGCAAATTAATGAGTACTGTCATGGGGAATCTAAGTGGTGTACAATCTGTCTGATTTAACAAGCAATTTTTTATTTTGTTATGAACTTTAAGCAATGTATTAGAAATTGACCTGTTTGATTTGTGCAATGACTAAGACAGTATTTCAAGCACACTTGATAATTTTTTTTTTTTTTTTTTGAAATAGCGTCTCACTCTGTTGCCCAGGCTGGAGTGTGGTGCAATCTTGGCTTGCTGCAACCTCTGCCTCCCAAGCTCAAGCAATTCTGCCACCTCAGCCTCGCGAGTAGCCTGGATTACAGGTGTAAAACTTTTGATGACAGGCTTCAACAAGAGGACACACATCCTTAACTATTTAATTAAAACTCATCCTTAACTATTTTCATATTATAATAATGCTTCAATTAAAAGCATTAAAAAGCTTAAAATGCTATAGTAATTTCTTAATTGAAAAAGCAATGCATCAATTTGACCAGGAGGAGTTTTAGGATCATAAAAGCATGTATATAAAAAAAGGCAATTTGTATTTATATTGCAAATAGTTATAAAACATTGAGATTTCTAAACAATGTATTTTAAGAAATTAAACAAGATGGATACATGTGTTCGAAGTTTTCATTCCTTCTCTGCAAGGGTCTGCTGTATTTTTTTTTTTTGTGTGTGTGGACTTAGTTTAAAAAACTCAGCTATGCAAAATTCTGCGATCTTTGTGCCAGAATTCCCTTGGTATTTATAAGACTTATTTCCTACAGGCGATGCTTCTCCTTTTCGCATAGGGTCAGGATTTAGAAAGAATGCTCTAGCATATATGCAGAAATCAACTAGACTAGGAAGCATTTAGTTCTTGATACACTTGCCATCACTTTTTGCCATTTTTCGCTCTAACTCTGTCTTGCTTCTATTCTTTTGAAACAGCAGTCAGTTTTCTAGCATATGAGCGATGAATTGGGAGTTACTTAGCATCTGGAAAGAGGGTAGAGATCACAGCTAAAGTAAGCCTGGAGAGCAGTTCAAATATTTGTGCTTTGAGAGAGGGACAACTGACACATCTCATCACAAAGCCAACAGTCTAAGAAAATAGCCCCAAAGTGTGCCATATGGAGACTGCATTTTGAAACCCTTGTTTGAATATAACACAGATGAGAATTATGCTGTCCTCAAGGTGATGAGAAAAGACCCTTCTCCCCAACCAGAAAAGAAGTTTAGATTTAGACGGCTCTCGGAAAGATAGAAACAAGAGTGGGTTCTTTGTGGTTTTCCCATTTAGGCAATATATAAATAAATGAGATTTGTAGATGATATCAGAGATTCCAACTCTTATGTCTCTCCTCCCCTAAACTTTGGAAGATTCTTTTGAACACACTTCATTGGAAAAGTCATTTTTAGGAAACAATTCTTCCTGTGTCACTCTGGCTTTGCACTTACTATATTTTCAATTATGTTTGTACAGCAAACAGCCTCAAGATAGAAATGTCTTCCTCCAGGAAACAGATCTGCCCTCTGCCTGAATAGGACAGTACAGATCCTGTCTTCCTCCAAGGAAAAGGCTGGGCAGAGTTGCTAGTTAGCCCCCCGATAAGATTGGGAGTTGCTAACTCGGATCCCTTGGCTGGGGCAACATGCAGCAGCATCCACCCTGGCTGCTCCACGTGACTGTGGGACCTAGGGACCAGGGAAACCTGTGGAAGCATGAAACTTATGATGCTCACTGTGCCTCAGAAATAAAGTCCTCTGTCTCTGACTCAGTTTTTTGTTTTCTGCCAACATCCATGAAACTAACAGGCAAGGGAAGCAGGGCTGGTAGCATCTTTCCTGCTTTTGCTAATCTGTCTCTACTCTTCCTATCTCTTGAATCTAAATTACTGTATTAAATTTCCTCCACTGAACTGTCTATTACAGGCTGCATTTACTTAAGTGAACCCTGAATAATA